ATAGAGCAGTTTTATAAATTCCATCACCACAGTTTTTTAGAGACGAAATGACAGATTTGTTCTGCTGTTTTGTTTTCTTAGCTCTTGATAACGTGCAAGTACTCGAGCTTAGGAGACATGTAGTCCCTAAAGTAAAAAATTTTAAATTTTAAATACATCCATTGTCATCGACCTACAGTATCAACATTACCTAATGTAAAATGTGACACTTTACCAACTCAAACATGGAAGTCTTATAGACACCATATTTATATAGTTAGCAACAAATACTAGGCACTGAAGATGATCCGTAGTGATCGAAAACGTTCTGCCAGAACTTTAAATGTGACGACACTTTTTTAAAAAGTTTTAACTTGTTTGTTTTATACCTAAATACACATTTGTGAAGTGTTTTAACTTCTGTGTTTTTCTTGATAAGCATTGCCGAGAATCAAGTTTTTCACTAATTCTGCAAGAGTATGAAAATCGCTTTCTAACGTAGATATCTGTAACGTAGATATACTAACTCTTCCTTAGTCTGCTTGACTTTTTTATTGTGTTATGTTCTATATAACGTAACACTTTCTTTGTTTTAGTCGTAGATAAAAGGACAGCCCGCGTATTTGGCGGAGGGGTCCCATGTTAGTTCTTATAGGAAAACGAATAAAAACGCTAAGGTCCATTCTGGTCATTTTTGTCTCGTTTTGTAATAGAGGCGCGACGGCAGATCGTGACGTCTTAGGTATCGTCGGAAAGGATAGGGAAAAAGAATACGTTCACACAAAAACCAAACAGCAATATGATCTGTTTAATCTAAATGTTTTTTTGTTATACTGTAACTTGGGTCTCGTATACTGGAACAAATATACTGGGATTAGCTTTGTTATTCCACCAGGCTCGATATCAAAGCATGGTACTCCACTCATCTATAACCAGGTTTATTCCAACAAGAAATTAGCTTTGCCATTCCACCAGGCTCGACCATAAAGTATGGTACTGTAGTCGTACATCACCAAGTTCATTTCACCAAGGGATAAGCTTTGTCATTTTACTAGGCTTGATCCCAAAGCATGGTGTATTACTCGTACCTGATCAGGTCCATCCAATATAACACGAAACCAACAGTAGAGATGATATTGTTCTTACTATAGCCAATTTTTTATCCAATAGCCATTCAAGAATGACAGCAGGGAAGTATTTTATTCTAGCAATTTTTGTCTTTTTTTGTTCTTAAGGCATTCAGCCACTTTGTGTAGACTTACTGTAACGAAGAGGCAGGTTTATTTATTTAAATCAAATGTTTGAAATTTTTTGTTATGCTTCATCTTCCTGGTAACCATTCTTGCCATTATTGTTTATCCTATAGATTAGCCGAACTATCTCTGAGCAGAGCTAGTTAGGATAGGGATCCTCATTATTGTGTTTGTGGTGATAAAAGAAGATACTTTAACCCAGGTTGACTTTCTCATAATCCTAAGTTCATCGTGGATTTCAAAATGGTATGATTTACGTGGTTAAAACCTTCATTTCTGCTACAATTGAAAGTAGCTTTAATTTAGGCTGTTTGTATAGTCCTCTTTTTTTAAGTTTGTTCATTTGATACATTTTGATTCTACAAGTCCCAATATTACTATAAACCCTAGTATAAAAAGGACGTCGGCCAATAGATTGTTACTGGCAGTTTTTACCTACTCGAATATGGTTCTAGGACCATATTAATAATATGCACTGACATCAATTCCGATCACAATCCTGCTGTCGCAAAAGTTCGCGCAAGAAGGAAACTAATAAAGAAACAAAAACCTTAATACCAACTATTAGACATCCAATTATTGAAAAACGACACCATACATCAGACAGTAAATAAAGAATTAAACAAAAATTTAGGAAATATCGACCACAACAGAATTAGCGAGTACGATGACATAAACGTTCTGTGGAAAACTATTAAAGAACAAATGAACAATGTAACGGAAAAACATCTAAAAGTAACACCTAGAAATAACAAACAGAAATGGATGACAGAAGAGATTTTACAATTAATGAACAAACGAAGAAAATCTAAAGGAAAAAATGACAAGACGGAGAATACAAGACTAAATAGAATAATTCAAAAAAAATAACCGAAGCAAAAGAGAAATGGCTGGAAACAAAATACGTTAGAATAAAATAGAAGAACTGCAACAAAGGCACGATTTTTTTAATTTACATAAAAAGGTAAAAGAGTTTACATCGACTACTAAGAGAACGACTTTTCACACCATGCTGAACACGGGTGGCAAACTGCTAGAATTAACGAAAGATAAACTGAAAGAATGGAAAAACTATATTAAAATTCTTTTTAACGGCATACGAGAAAAACCAAGATTGGAAAATAACAACGAAGGCCAGCAATTCTGAAATCTGAAATCATAAATGCAATTAATCATCTTAAAACAAATAAAAGCCCAGGTCCAGACGGAATATACATAGAAACGTTAAAATTAATCAGCGAAGAAAATATCGAAATATTTGTCCTTTTATTCAATCGCATTTATGATACAGGTAAAATACCCCAAGATTGGCTGGAGTCAATATTCATCCCACTACCAAAAAAGCCAAACCCACAACACTGCAGTGAGTTCCGTCTGATAAGCCTTATGAGTCATGCAGTAAAAGTCCTACTAAAATAATAATCGTACATAATCGTATCTATAGAAAGTGCGAAACAATCATCGGAGACGGTCAGTTTGGATTCACAGCCGGCATGGGAACGAGAAAAGCCCGGTTCAGTTTACTAGTTCTCGCCCAAAAATGCTACGACCAACAGAAAGATATATTTATATGCTTTATAGACTTCGAAAAAGCATTTTATAGATTAAGACACGACCTACTATTAGAACTTTTGCAAGAAGTCGGTTTAGATGGAAAAGACATCAAATGCTTAAAAAACTTGTAGTGGAACCAAAACGCCAGAGTTAGGATCGAAGGTTCCACATCCGCAGAAGTAGAATTAGGAAGGGAGTTAGACAAGGATGTGCTCTGTCGCCTCTGCTGTTTAATCTTTACTTCAAGTTTCTATTTAAAGAAGCATTGGAGGATTCCAAGGATGCACAATAAATGGGCACATTTTAGATCAAGTCAATAGATTTAAGTACCTAGGATGTTGGATCGATAGCAGTCTAAATCCTGATCTAGAAATAAGATCGAGAATATAACAGGCCAGAAAATCTTTGGAAAAAATAAAAAAACTGCTTTGTGATTCTCGAATAAAACTCGAAATTCGACTACGTTTATCAAAATGCTACGTCTGGTCGACTCTTCTATATGCAGTTGAAACGTGGACCCTTAAAACATCAACCGTAAATAAATCGGAGGCCTTTGAAATGTGGCTCTACCGGAGAATACTCAAAATTTCATGGACATCGTATACCTCAAACGAAGAAGTGCTGCATAGAATAGGCAAGGAAAGAAAACTTTTAACACAGTAAAAGTTAGAAAAACATCATAACTAGGCCACATACTGAGAAATAATAAGTACCAATATGCCCAACTTATAGTAAAAGGAAAAATCAAGGGAAAGAAAGACTATCGTGGCTCAGAAACATTCGACAATGGACAGGGTTAAATTTTGAACAGCTAATAAGAACAGCTGAACATAGAGAAAAGTTTAAAATTGAGGAGAGGGCACTTTAAGAAGAAGAATATGGTTTTACCATGCACGTTTCTATTCTATTAGTTCACTGGCACAGATATGCTTGACTTAATTGATATTATCAAGATGGATCATTATTAGGGAGCTTTCTATTTTTCTAGACTCATTGTAGACATTCCACATTATTTGTCTTCGAGATCAAACATTTGCCTCTATCTTTATTGTTTACCATAAGGATATTGTTCGGTCGCTATTAATCAAATATAAAGGTATGCACTTTCATTATTGGTTATTAAAGTTGCTACAACATTTCAGATGAAAAAATTTCAGATAATTTTGAAATTGTTCGTCACTGGTATATGACATTACGTTGCGGATTATCAGCTGTGAGCAAAAACTATGTAATTAATAATTTTCGAAACAATGTTAGTCATGGCACTACCTTAAATATAAACTATTTAAAGAACTGCCTACAAGTATTACTTAAAACATAAAACGTTTTAGTAGAATTTAAGTTAATATAAAAATAAATTAAATGTTTAAACGTCTGCTATATTTCGAAATTCAATGATAAAGTTGGGAATTAATTAAGCTTACTTTATTTGTCATTGGTTTTGAAGAAAAATGGGATGTGGCACTTTGAGTATAACCGAGGAGAGGAAGCATAGCTTTCTTATCGTCTAAGCAAGGAGCGATGATTTTAATTACTTTTTTTTATTTTTTACAGGAACTTCGTTTGCAAGGGGATTTTATTTTATTCTATTCTATTTTGTTTCTATTCGATTCGATAATCGACTGCATCGATAATCGATTTAATAATCAATTTGATTATTGATTCGATTCCATTCGATAATCTATTCGATTCGATGCATTTTGATAATCGATTTAATTGTATAATCGATTCGAATCGATATTTTATTCGAATCGATTCAATTCTATTCAATTCGATACGATTAGATTGTATTTAATTTTGTTTTATTTTGTAAAATATATAAAAGTTAACTTATTTTAAATTTAACTTGTGGCGTATTCTTATCGGAGATAGTGAATTTTATTTTATTGTATTTTATTTTGCTGTATTTTTTATTTTATTTTATTAATAAACGCGCATAGTATTGCTTTTACTACTCCATGTAGTGTGATTTCGCACGTAGGCTGTATTCATATGATGTGTCGTTACAGTCGTTACAGTCAGTCGTTACCGTTTTATTGTTTTCACACCTCAGTGCGATTAACCGCTTCGTCCGTAGCCCGCGATAACAAAACTATGCTTTCAAATATAATTTTATTAAAACATAAGCATATTTCAACTTACATTGTAAATGTGTTCAATATTTGTTTTATGGAATTGTTACTAGATCTTAACTAAACAGGATTTTACTTTCAGTGCGGCCGCTGTCTGTAGAAATAATTAACAAACCAAGGCAGTTAATAGCCAATGAAGAAATTTCCATACAGTGCGAAGTAGAAGGTTCAAGACCGAAAGCTTTAGTCACATGGAGTAGAGATAACAGACCGTTTCGAAGGGGTCGAGTGAGTATTAACTTCTATATTGTTCTAAAGCTAATTTTTTTCCTTTGTATAAAATAATTTTATAATTGGGAGTAAATAATAGTTGGGAAACATATTATTTGTTTGATATTTCGGCCTATAAGTCGTTTTCACAATATCTATCTATATTTCGGTATTCTAGTATCTCAATGCTTTTCGTTTAAGGGTAAATCAGGCTGATATAATAAACAAAAAAGTTAGGCCCTGTCGAAGACAAGAAATTGTTTTTTTAAACGAAATAAAAATACACTTCTCCCACAAAACATTTTGCAACAACTTAACAGTGTCATAGCTTATCTAGGACATTACATACGTTTTTAAAAAAACATTTATTTTTATTAAATTCACCATTCCCTCTATACATAATGGTGAAATGGCGACATATCTTGGTATAAAATTGTGAACTTACTTCTCGTGCTTTTAACCACAATATAAAATCACACATGGATTTATACTTTGAACAGTCTTCGTGCGACCAAATTTGGCAGCTAAAACATTTGATTCAATTCATGTTCTTTTTAGTTTAACTGTACAGTTCATCACTCTCTACACAACAGGAATCTTTATCGTCTACGTCGTCATCATTGTATTGCAAGTGGATATCCAGCAATGAGTCAAGGCTTTTTTGTAAATTACCTCTTTGCTACTTTTCTCTTTAGCGTTGACGATGAAACACCAAATTCCTTTGATGCTTCATTCAGCCTCATTTCATTTTATTATTATTATTATCCCAGATTTAGCCATACGGCTCACACTCCCTCTAAGGGGAAAATTCACTCATCCCAGATACCTGCGGTATCAAAAGGATTGAGCTCTGGTGGGACTCTTTCCGTGTTATCGAGCCCTAGGTGACTTGGTATGTCGGAGTATCTCCCAGAAATTATCGTACACATCTGGAGGTCGCGAGGAGTACAGCTTTCGGCATGGCCTTATAAAGATGTTCACTTGGACTTAGTTGTTTTATGTTCGCTAGGAGGTTTTTGGGAATAACACCAGTAGTAGATAGAACAATAGGTACTGTCTGGGTACTTTCCATTCTCCATTGTCTCTTGATTTGTATTTCCAGATCTCTATACTTGGCGATCTTTTCGTCGTATTTAACAAGCAAATTGTTAGTGTTAGGTATCGCCACATCAATAAGTGTTGTTTGCCTGGTAATTTTATTCACTAGTATGAGATCCGGTCTATTATGGGCCACTGGTTGGTCTGTGAGCACAGTGCGGTCCCAGTATAGCTTGTAGTTGTCATTTTCAAGCATTCTGTCAGGGACATATTGATAATAAGGAAGATGGTCGGTTTGGAGAAGTCCCAGTTTGTCAGCTAGTTCGTGGTGGATAATCTTTCCTACTGAGTCATGGCGTTCTTTATAATCAGTACCGACAAATGCCTGGCAGCCACCGGTAAGATGCTGGATGGTTTCTTGGGCTTGGCATCCATATCGGCATTTGTCATTTTGGACTTGAGGATCTTTAACAATATATTTCAGGTAATTTTTAGTTGGAATAACCTGATCCTGAATGGCAAGTAGGAAACCTTCAGTCTCGGGAAACATCTTTCCTGATGTCAACCAATAGTTCGACGCTGTATTGTCGACATATTCTTGGTTAATCTCATTGAGATGTCGCCCATGAAGAGGTTTACTCATCCAGGTGCGCATCTTTTCTTGCTTAGTCAGATGGTTTGTGCGCATTACTTGTTCCCTCAGCTTAAGCGGCGTTGTGTTATCTACTGCGCAAATTGCTCGATGTAAAGTAGATATCTCAGCCTGTACCTGAAAATAAGATCTTAAATTAGCAATTTGTTTATCTAATTGCTCACCTATATCCATAAGTCCTCTTCCTCCTTGATACCGCGGTAATGTTGTTCTCTCTACTGCACTGCGTGGATGATGTTTTTGCGCCTTTGTGAGAAGTGTTCTTACTTTCCTCTGAAGACCCTCTATATCCGTTTTTGACCACTTTATAATACCAAATGAGTAGCTGAGCGCGGAACAGGCGTACGTATTTAATGCCTTAAACAAATTTTTACTATTAAGATGTGACCGATTTAGTTGTCTGATTCTTCGCACGAACTCCGAAGTTAGTTCAGTTTTCATCTGTTTATGGTCAATTTTCCGCGCCTGTTTTACTCCGAGATATTTGTAAATACTATTTTCACCCATTGCCTTGATGTTTTGGCCATCTTGCATATCGAAACCTCCGGGCTGAACCTTTCCTCTGACTATATTAAGTATACGGCACTTGTCTAGTCCAAAATGCATACTAATATCATTTGAGAAAGTTTCTACAGTTTTTAGCATCTGATCTAAGTGATTTCGAGTGGAAGCCATTAGTTTCAAATCATCCATATACAACAGATGATTAAGCTTCGCCACAACAGTGTTGTTATTTTTGATGCTAAATCCTGAGTCAGTGGAGTTCAGCAGCTGAGATAGTGGGTTCATCGCTAGGCAGAACCAAAGTGGACTCAACGAGTCCCCCTGGAAAAGGCCCCGGTTAATAGCGATATCTTCAGTTTCGATATTGGTTTCACCAGGTATTTGAAGGTGAATTTTAGTCTTCCACTTTGTCATTATATGCTTCAAAAAGGTCACGAGATTATCATAGACTTTATATATTTTCAATATATCTATAAGCCATTCATGCGGCACTGAGTCAAAAGCCTTCTTGTAGTCAATGAAGGCAGTAAACAGGTTTCGTTTTTTGGTGTATGCCTGGTTAGAAATGACTGAGTCGATAATAAGTTGTTCTTTGCATCCCATGGAGCCCTTAGCGCATCCTTTCTGTTGGGGCTCTATGATATTGTTCAGAGCACAGTGTTGGTAGATACGCCGGGCCACACAGGATGTGACCAATTTGTACAAAGTTGGAAGACAAGTAATTGGGCGGTACTTGGCTGGATCTTGGGTGTTATTTTGATCCTTCGGTATTAGATAAGTGGTTCCCTGAGTAAGAAATGATGGTATTTCCTGTAAATTAGAAATAATATTATTAATAAATACTGTTAAAAGCTCATGAACACTCCAAAACTTCTTTAACCAGAAGTTTTGAACTCCGTCTGGTCCAGGAGATTTCCAGTTATGAAGCTCTTTGATGATGTTCAAGACTTCTTCAGTGGTAAAAGGTTCATAAGGAATATTCCTATAGTGTTGACAATTGTTCTCCGTGTCTTCAATCCATCCAGCATTGTTGTTATGGGTAGCTGGCGTCGAAAGTTGATTTCCCAAAACTCATGAATTTCTTCTTGGCTTGGGTAGGATTTATTTACATTTTCTACAGTGGAATTTAGCTTCCTATAGAAAGCCTTCTCTGAATTCTCAAAAAGTATATTGTCGCATTTACGGTTGTTACTAACTTTGTATCTCCTTAAGCGACCTGAATAAACGGAGAGTTTTTGTTTTAATGTGTCTAGGCAGTGTTGAGCTGTGTTGTTTTCTGGATCATGTTGTGAGTGTCTTGAAGTGTTCAGAATAATTTCTTCAGCTCTTTTAATTAGTTTTCGACTTCTTACTCCTCGGATGTATTCCGTAATTTGCCCAATATCCCTGCGCAATAATTCAATTTTCCTCAGCAGTCTTTTTTCCCAGGGTGCAATTCTGTTTTCAGTCCTTCCGATATTAGTTCCCCGTCGTGTTCTGATCTTAATGCGCATAACATTAGCAATTGCTGTTGCTGCACAGTAAATCAGCATATGCAAATATTCTAATGTATGTGCTTCCACGATATAATTGGGTAGGACTTCAGTGTTCATTATTTGTAACAGCGCACCTAGTTTCTTACAAGAGTTTATTCTTGGTAGCGGTGGTCTGCTAAGTGGGTTTGTACCATTAAACTCTTGTATGGCACGTGCCATTTCTCTTACCAGGCTATTGTGCAACTCGTTGTTGTCCTGCTGGGTATTAACAGGTTGAGTGTCTTGTATAAGGGGCTCAGGAATCTGCTCATTTGGGATTTCATTATGGTCTTGATCCACAACTAGCTTTTGGTTATGAATCTCCCGTTCGACTTCGCTTCTAATGGTAGCGCGTCTAGCTTCTGGAATAAGATTATTTCTTATAATTACCCGGTATTGATCTGCTATTCGCTGTTCAGATACTTCAATCTCTGGATACTCCCTGCAAAATTCGGCATACAGTTGTTGTCTATAGCCGATCGTTTCTCGACCGAGGTTCGTCACCTTGTAATAGAAGCGCAAAATGTTTTCATTTATAGACATAGTCCATTTCATGCGCTGCCTCGGTCGTCCCGCTTGTGTGAGCGCCGGCTGATGTTCCAGCGCAGCACCTTCAGCGAGTGGAGCTCTTGTTGTTGTTTGGTTCACTTGTGGTCGTTGTTGTTGTTGGGCTTATTATTATTATCCCAGATTTAGCCATACGGCTCACACTCCCTCTAAGGGGAAAATTCACTCATCCCAGATACCTACGGTATCAAAAGGATTGAGCTCTGGTGGGACTCTTTCCGTGTTATCGAGCCCTAGGTGACTTGGTATGTCGGAGTATCTCCCAGAAATTTTCGTACACATCTGGACGTCGCGAGGAGTACAGCTTTCTGCATGGCCTTATAAAGATGTTCTTTTAGACCCAGCTGTTTTATGTTCGCTAGGAGGTTTTTGGGAATAACACCAGTAGTAGATAGAACAATAGGTACTGTCTGGGTACTTTCCATTCTCCATTGTCTCTTGATTTGTATTTCCAGATCTCTATACTTGGCGATCTTTTCGTTGTATTTAACAAGCAAATTGTTAGTGTTAGGTATCGCCACATCAATAAGTGTTGTTTGCCTGGTAATTTTATTCACTAGTATGAGATCCGGTCTATTATGGGCCACTGGTTGGTCTGTGAGCACAGTGCGGTTATTATAATTATTATTATTATTATTATTATTATTATTATCCAGATTTAGCCATACGGCTTACACTCCCTCTAAGGGGAAAATTCACTCATCCCAGATACCTACGGTATCAAAAGGATTGAGCTCTGGTGG